CACAAATGAACTTTTTGAGTTGTGAGGGCATTCGTGAGCCCTCGCGACTTCGTGGTTCATTTCGGTTCGTGTTGTGCATAATGCAGTGAGGTTGCAATGCCCCGTAAGGGCATTCGTAAGCATCATAACCCCCATGGAAAAAGACAGACACTGAAAACGAGACGACTCAGAACATACATTGTCACCGTGGGGCTGCCATCTCGAGTGGAAAGTCACATCTGTGTAAGAGCAGAAAGAAGAAAAGAAATGTGGAGGGAGAGATCAAGGAGAGGATGAACATTCCTTTCTTGCAGGCAGGACATCATAGGGTGCTCCTTGTTCCATATATTGAATATTTCAAATGGCAATACCACTCCTCCTCCACCTCCTCCTCCTCCTCCTCCTCTGCTTCCACCTCCTTCTCTGTCTTTGACTGCTTCCCTCCCTCTCATTCTCCACCCAAGACCCCCCATGCGCCCAGTCTTCGCGATACCACTCCTCCTCCTCCTCCGCCGTCGCCTCCACCTCCTCCTCCTTCGCTGACTCCGCCTCCTGCTGTCTTCGACTGCTTCCCTCCGTCTCATTCTCCACCCAAGATCCCCCATGCTCCCAGTCTTCATCCCAAACTCTCAATTACTGTCCCTGCCAATCAACAACGCCCCTCACAGCGTCCCAGCATGCAGATTCCTTCTCTATCAACCTTAATGCATTAAAGAAAAAAAAGGTAGATTTCCCAGCCCATGTGGCTGAATGGCGCACACATGTAATGTTAACCAACAGGTCACGAGTTCATATTCTATCAGAAACAGACGGGTATCACCTTTTGAAAAAGAGAGAGGAAAAAGGAACATTGATCAGCAGATCTCCTTCGACAAGAACAAAGCAGCAGTACTCCTCCGGCAAGAGAAGAGAGCCGCAGTGATCCCAAACGCTAAGGCAGCAGCGAGACATGTACCAGCATTGGTACCACCGCTACCACCCATCACAGCACCCCTATCCGGATACATCCATGGTAGCAGCAGCAGGGAACCCTGCCGAGCACGGAGTACGGCCAGCAAGAGTCGCACTGACAGCAATAGCAACAGAGATCCAGATATGGCAATAGCAGCGGAGCGCACTACCAAATAGGGCGTACGGCCAGCAATAGAAGCAGTATAGCAGTACCAACCGCCTACAGGGTCTCATCTGAACCTTGGTAGTAACAGCAGGAGCAGCAACAGCACCTCTGCTCTACAGTTCTCAGCCATAGCAGCACAGTACCACTTGCCGCTAGAGAATACCAACAGCAGAAAAAGGATGCAGTCATGGCGAGATCGGCAGCGTTGTGCCCTCAACAACCCCATGAAAAGTGGCGACGTACGGGCCTCACTCCGACGACTCTAACGTGGCGGTGGCAGGCGACACTACACCATGAAAAGTGGCGACGTACGGGCCTCACTCCGACGACTCAAACGTGGCGGTGGCAGGCGACACTACACATATCACATAGACAAGTACTGGAGAATCATCGCATATAGACAAGTACTGAGAATCATCTCATATAGACAAGTACTGAGAATCATCTCATATAGACAAGTACTGGACATTAATGCGATAGGATGTAGACCACGCACTCAAAAGCAGATCCAACATAGAAAAAGTATTATCCAAGAGTAGTCACAGAGTTCTATTTTAGGACCACGCACTCAACAGCATCCTTGCCGCACTACCACAGAGTTCTATTTTAGGACTACTGTTTGTCCAGTGGTAGCAGCGATTCTGCCGATCGAGAGGTCGAATGCACTCGCAAAGAGGCCTGACGGTGGGGGTCGGCAAACATCCATTCGGGATCCATTTGTGACAGAAAACGAGAAATTGTCATATTCCTCCTCGCGGTAGCATACTTTTGCAATGCTGCTATTAAAAAAAAACTACCGTCTTCACCCGAATAGAACGCCCGGCCACGATCGCCTTATTTGGGACAACTTTCAGTCCAGATGCAGCGATCCTGACCGGGCGTTCTATTTCGGGTGAAGACGGTAGACCACAATTCGTCCGGATGCGAAGATATGGGAAAGGCAGAACACAACCTCAAAGGCAAACGCAACCTGTAGCAGGCCGTGTCTCCAACTGGTATGGCCAAGTACCGAACCAGCCCACTTCCGTGTCCAGACCCCAGGGCTACCGCCGTTCCCCGAACGCAGTGCAACTCGTCATGACCATGCGCCTTGCCACACGACTCGCCAAACTCCAACATTTTGAATGAATCTGGACCACTTGCAGGTTCTAATGCATCCAGAATGCTGGCGTTTGACACGTGGTGTGGTGAGGCCCTATATCGCACCACAAGGGGTAGCTGGTATACATTCGTGACCAGAGTGTGTTGTGTTTGGGGGAAGACGCTAGCCCAATCAGCACCCGCCCTGGGGTGTCGACAAAGTTCCAGTGCAAAATCAAGCACCCAAAATCACAGGTGCCTTCCGATGTGGCTACCACTCATATCGGAATCACCCACCCATGCATTCTCCCTACGAGGGCCTACTGACAGTCGAGCTCTATCTGAAACGTACCTGACATCATTCGCAGCCAGATTTGAATTTTTCTGACCGCAACGACATTCTTAAAACAAGTAAAACAAGTCCTATAGTGTGAGTATGGCCTGAAATGAGAATGCTTTCCATACAAAAAGCCAATTCCTGCCAGTGTACTGTTTTCACTGTCTCAGGGCGTAGTCACACTGGATCTTTTGTGGATGCACCTGAAACCACTTACGGACATTTTTCACACTTGGACTTAGGGGACAGAAAATGTCCGTAAGTGGGTTCAGGTGCATCCACAAAAGACCCAGTGTGACTACGCCCTGAGACAGTGCAAACAGTACATTGGCAGGAATTGGCTTTTTGTATGGAAAGCATTCTCATTTCAGGTTTGTATGGAAACCATTCTCATTTCAGGGCATGCTCACACTATAGGACTGTTTCATGAAAAACAAACTAGGAGGGGCTATGACAAACTGTTTCGTCGGAGTTTCACCTCCCTACTCATCAGGAAGCTATATATTGTCACACTGTAAATCAGAGCGCGAAGGCGGAAAAAAGCAAAACAAGGAAAGGAAAAGAAGGAAGGAAAGCCCCACCGTCACAAAGTTGTCAGAGCGCAAAAGCGAAAAAAACAAAGGGAACAAAAAAGATATCAATTCATTTTTAATCTTTTTCTTCCTTACAAGACTCCCCCTGTTCAGAACCTCTTGCGTACAAGGCCGCCCACGTGGATGTGGTTGTGTCATATCGACCCTCTCTCTCTCTCTCTCTCTCTCTCTCTCTCTCTCTCTCTCTCTC